TTCTCGCCTACAGAAATAATTGACCAGCGCACCAAATGCAGGTGCGAAGATGCGTTTTTGCAAAGTTCCCTCGCAGCTTTTTGTCGCAAACGGCACCGGTTTTTTCGGCAGATGCTTTTAGCTAAACGAACTGAGACTAATCGCCACGATTGTCAGGAATTATTACAGTGACCCCCAATCCATCCTCAAAAAAGTTCAGCACTCTAGATGCTTTGTTTGCGGATTTACGGCAAATTCCACGTGCTCGTACGTGGAAGAGACGTGGATGTCGTCTTCACGTGTGCCTGTCCAAATACGGCCCTGGGTTTCGCTAGCAAAATTTCAGCACTCCAGTTGCTTTGGTTGCGGAGTTACGTCGGGTTTCAAATGTTCGTACGTGAGGGGAACGGGGATGATTTTTTTGTAAGCACCTGCCCAAACACTTTTCCAGAACCAATTTCTGAAAATTTCAGCAGTGTAGCTGCTTTGGCTGCAAAGCTACATCAGACTCAACGTGCTCGTGCGCGAGGGAAAGCGTGGGAATTTTTTTGAAGAGCGTCTGCTCAAACGCGGTCGTGGGCCATTTTCGGAAAATTTTAGTGCTCTAGCTGCTTCGGTTGTGCAGTTACGTCAAACCTCACGTTTTCGCACATGGCACGTACCTAAGACATGAAAAAAACATGGAAGTTTATTTAGAGTCCACCTGGTTGTCGGCCATGCTCAAAAAGTTTCAGTCTTCCAGCTGCTTCAGTTCCGAAGTTATAAAACAGTCTACATCAAAGTTCACGTGTATGTACTTGAAATGCAGAAGAGTTGGGAAGCTCAATTTACTTCCAGGGCATATCAGTGGATGCCAAGTAACGCTGCAAAATTACAGCTTTCTACAACTTCTCTGTCAGCTTAATTCTTGAGTTAGCACTATGCCAATTTAAACATTGACGCGTACGTATGTGAAACCTAAGGGTGCGTGAAGATTGAATTGAAAGTCTTCGGATTGGAAATGGGCAAGGAACATCTTCGTGAAGTCCCAGCCTTCTAGATTGCGCCGTTTCAAAACCGCTTTCGCGCCAAAAAATCTTTCATGTATCCGTACGTGAGAACCAGGCGAAAGTAACCGTTCATTTTGAAAACTCACACACAGACATAGATCAGCCGAAGTTTCAGCCTTGTAGCTTTTGTAGGTCTCGAGATGAAAACTTGGTACAAGTGTGCACAAAGATACACAAACATACAGACACCTACGCAGACAACCTCTCGACAATATGCGTTTTTGCATGTATGGATCTGAAAAACACATGAAAATCAAGAAGTTTATAACTCAGACTCTGGTTAGTTTCAAGAAAAAATTGTTTAATTTTTTAAAAAATTACCATTTCCGAAGGCGATAATAACCTGCCTAATTCTTTAGCATCGAAAACAATAGATTTTATTGTTCCATCCATTGAACAAATTGTTAAATGATAGTCATTCCTGTAAATATTCATACAAATCATTGAATATTCTGATCATAAATGATTTCAATTTCAGTAATAAGAAAAACAGACAGTTAAATGGCACTCTGAATACCAAATTCGCTTAAATTTTTTGATCTTATCAGCAAACACAATCTTCTGCAGTACACAAACCGCAAGTCGCAGAAGGTTTTCAACCTCGTCGTTATCGCTGTCCATAACAAAGCATAAAACTGGATGATGCTGAGATTTTGTTGGATCCTAGCTCGGGAACTAGTATGAATAGGCTGGCTGACGGCAAGTAAAACTGAGAGAAAATTATTTGTAAAAGCCATTTAATGATGACATTTGAATCAAAATTTTGCAGTACATAATAAATACTATTAAGCGGTATTTCAGTCACTGGTATTGTTACTGTTGTCGCCAAAGCCACCCCGATTTGCAAAAGTTATTCAAGAAAACTTGCAACTGCGTAACTTGCACATTATTAAAAGGATGAAGCCATTTGAAAATGCAAACCTGAATACGTGATATTTTTTATCTGTACTAAAAAAAAGCAAAATTAGAATATTCACCAAGAAAAATCCAGTATAGAATGTTTAAAGAGTTTGTAAAGAGCGACCAATGGCCGATCCACATTTGGCAGCAACCATACACTTAACGATTTGTCACGACTACCCATTGCTATACAGCTTACTTTAATACGATTGCCCTGCAAAACTGTGAAAAAGTTAAGCTAGCATCACTGAGGGAAGAAAAACAATATTAATTTACAATAAGTGGCCTGTCTTTTCGCAAAATCCCAATCCAGGAATTTCATCGTGGTGCGGGAATGGCAACAGACCAGGCAGTACTGAGGACGACGGAGTAACTATAGGCACTGCGCCGCATCTGTCCAGCTAATCTTGAGTGGTACAAACCAACGTCAGTGTGCCCCGCGGTTGACAAATGTAAGAAAAAGTTAAGCAGCTATGCAAACGAAAACGTAATGTGCTTTAAACGCATTCTGAAGCTAATATGAACAAAGGAAAAAAAGTGAGCCCTCATGCCTTGCGCACCTTTCAATCTGGTCTACGGCAGTAAGTTGGCAATCGGAGAGCATGGAGCTGCTTGGAATCTAATGTGCTGTAGGATGTCACCGTGAAATAATGGCCAAGACACCTCTATATCGTGGAATAATGGCCCAGACACCTCGAATCATCTCACGGATCATCTTTTCCAGGAAATCACTCGCTGTCTTCGGTTTGTGTGAAACACAACTAAGGACCAAACACGCCGTAACCTGGAGAGAGGAGAAAGCAATTCTGCTCGGCAGTGGTGAAGAACAAAAAAACGTTGGCGGAGTGGGGTATCGTCAGGAGGCCCTGGCCTCCACAGCTGCTCAGGCTTGATTCTAGTAAAACCTTCAAAATCGTTCAAGATAACGCTCCCATCACGGATAGGGAAGACGATGAAGCGGAAGAGTTTTATGCTGAACTCAATTTCATGTTAACTTGCAACTGCACATACACTTCAGTGCAAAGCTTGAAAGAACGGAGAAGAATGGAAAGAAATATGGCATACAGCATTAGCAAGAAGAACGACAGAAGTGATAAGTTAGCTACAACGTCAGAGACGAACAAACTGTTTACTGACAATGCCTGACTCAAAAATGTAAGACGGAGATGGATGACATAGTTTTTGCTGCCAACAGCACCACGAAGGAAGTGGGTCTAAGGAGCCACAGAGTTCAACACACTAAGTAAGAAAATGGGTCTGAAAATCAATGCATCGAAAATGAAGATGTCGCAGAGTCAGAGTATGCCCGCAGCAAGATTACAAATAGACGGTGTGGTCTTGGAAGAAGTTGTGAGTAACGTTATCTCGGATAAAAAGTGAATATGCGGCACAATCTCTATTCGAAGACTGCACGACGAAGGCTCGCCAATCAACTCAATTTTTGCGGCACCGATGTCCTCAAAGTGTCAAACCAGATGGACCATGCCCATCTCTTCAATACCGCTGCACTGAATACAATGAAATACGGATGCGGAACATAGTCACTAACGAACGTTGAAGGCTGAGTGCAGGCTGTAACGGAAAAAGCGATGGAACGACGGATGCTTGGCATATCTCTTTGCGACTGGATAAACAATCAAGCTCTCCATCAAATGAGCGATGCACAGGATACCAGTGCGACCATGCGAAAGAGTAAAATCCGACAGGCAGGATATGGTGCTCGCCTCGTCGATAACTGGCAAAACAGTGTACACCAGTGAGTGATACCTAAGTGAAAGCAAGCGATCGCTCGGATAATCCCCGATGAGGTGGTGCACGTACATCAAACTGGCGACGGATACTAACTCGAGCCATGCAGCTCAAGATCGAATGGCTCGGTATGGCTGCGCTCGACATGCGGGAGCATCCTAATAAAATCAATAACAAGGGGTACCCATTCCAACAGTCTTTGCATTCTTGGTTAAACTGGCTAATGATAAAAACCATACCAGAG